TCTGGTGACCCTGCTCTGGGGGATCTCCAGAAGGCCCTGCCAAGCCCTGCCATGCTGTGGTTCTGTGAAGCACAAACTTGGTTGGAGATGCTGCAGGCAGCACAACCTTGGTGGGATATCATGGATCCGGGTGTTGGTGTGAGCTGGTACCCATGCAGTCGGGTTGTGAGCCTGAAGCACACCTGGTGTTTCTGTGCCTCACCGTTACGGTAAAACGGTGTCTGACGGGAGCCTCTCACTGCTCCTCCTGTTTCCCTTGCAGTGAGAATTTCAAACCTGATGCGAGTGCTGGGGACGGAAGCTGTTCAGGACCCAACAAAAGTTGAAGCTCACGTCAGAGCGCAGATGGCAAAGAGACAGAAGTAGGTGGCACGTTGTACCTTTTTTTTGGTCATTTTTAGATGGATTTAGTGCTGCTGCTGCGTTTATTTGTAGAGAATAAAATCCTTGAACTGATGCAGCAAAGCAAAAGCAAGGGGCTTTTCTGTGGGGTGCTCTTGTAGCCTATTTCAGCTGCCTTAAATGGCCCCTCCTCAAGTCCTGGGGGGAGCTGGGTCTCGGTGATCAGCTCTTGGCACTGGAACATTGAATGAGTTTCTTACCATGATGATGAGCGTTGTTACTAATGAATGATTTCAGGGAGAAGGCTGAGGACAAATTGGACTGGTGACTGGATTAAAAAAGCCACATGCTTTTAGTTCAGGTGGAAATCCAGGCTGGATTGTGACTGCTTTGGGATCTGTGGAACACGTTCAGTGCTTGAGAAGAGAAGGCTCCGTTTTCAGGTGGTAACGGGTGCGCTGTGGGCTGCGTTTTGCTCATTGCTGCGTCTCTCTTTGCATCCAGAGCTCACGAAGAAGCGAACGCTGCGAGAAAGCTCACAGCAGAGCAACGTAAAGCGAAGAAGGTGAAGAAGTTGAAAGAAGACGTCTCACAGGGAGTTCACATCGCGGTGTACAGGTGGGTGCTGCGCCAGGCGCTCCTGGCTGTGGTTTTCCATGTGTCTCTTTCTAAATGTACCCAACAGAAAGGTGCTGATGGAGAGGAGCAGTCCTCAGTAGCAGGACTATGCGCTCACTTGTCGGCTTTCCGTGAAGCATTAGAGACTCCTGGGCTGTAGAATGACACTGTCCCAAAAGACATGGCCATTAACTCTGCGCTTACCTCGTGCTGTTACAGCCATGTCAGGTTTGGAGTGTTTCAGCTGGCACTGACATTTTTGATGAGGAGAGTAATTTCCTTGCTGTAAGAACTAACCTGGTCTAATCATGTCCAAAAATCAGGAAGCTTCTGAGACCTAAATTAAGTGAAAACCAGAAGAGATGGACACAGTGTCTCTGAGTGGTACAATAACAAATGCCATTCACAGAATCACAGAATATGAGGAGTTGGAAGGGACCTGGAAAGCTCCCCCAGTGCAACCCCCCAGAGCAGGGTCACCAGAGCAGTCACCCAGGAACACGGCCAGGGCTTTGGGTGTCTCCACACAAGGAGACTCCACAGCCTCTCCACAGCCTGGGCCATGCTCTGCACCCTCACATCAACAACTTTGGCCTCATGTTCACATCACCCTCCTGTGCTCCAGCTGCACCCATTGCCCTTGTCCTGGCACTGCCAGCACTGAGCACAGCCTGGCTCCGTTCTCCTGACACTGCCCTTTCCAAATGGAGACCAGCAATGAGGGCACCCCTGGGCTCCTCTGCTCCAAGCTCAAGAGCCCCAGCTCCCTCAGCCGCTCCTCAGCAGGAGATGCTCCACTCCCTAAGGACTTGGTGGCTCTGCTGGGCTCTTTCAAGCAGTTCCTGTCCTTGTGGAGCTGAGGGCCCAGAGCTGGACACAAGATTGCAGCTGGGGTGTGAGCAGGGCAGAGCAGAGGGGGAGGAGAACCTCTCTGCCCTACAACCACCCCTTCTCATGCACCCCAGGATGGCGCTGGCCTTCTTGGCTCAAGGGCACATTGCTGGCTCCTGGGATCTGCTGCCACCAGCACCCCAGGTCCTGTTCTGCCTGGCAGCTTTCCATTGCGTCATTTTGAGGTGTGGGTGAAACCTCTTGAGGAGCTGGAGGGGGAAATGCTGGACCAGGTTGGGGTCCTGATGATGATAATTCTGGTTATCCAGAAACATTTGTGCTTGGTTTTTGTGGTTTTTTTTCCTATCCTATCCTTAGGGTCCGAAACTTGAGCAATCCAGCAAAGAAATTCAAAATCGAGGCGAACGCTGGCCAGCTGTACTTAACGGGAGTTGTTGTTCTCCACAAAGACGTCAACGTGGTTGTGGTAGAAGGAGGTGAGGACTTCCAAGGCAGGCTGTTGGTCACAGCGTAGCGTTCAGAAGCTTGCCTGTCGCCAAAATTACCATGAGGGTTGTTAGCTGAGGGTTACAGCAGGACAAGGAAGTAAGGAGGCCATTTGAAACTCTCTTAATTACGGCTCTAATGGGGTTAGCGCTGACTGCAGAGCGCACCATAATCCAGTTAGAAAACCCCGTGCAGTTGATATTGAAGGGAAGAGCATTTGGTTTGAATCCTGGATGCTCTGAGCGGTTGCTTAGAGCATGGAGAGCCTCGGTTCTCGCCGCAGCTCCTCGCTGTTTGCACTGTTCTAAGTGATTTTGGAGGTGGTGAAGAGCCTGTTTGGCAGCAGGAAATCCTGAGGTGGCTGAGAGCTGAGTGCGGTGCCAAAGGCTCTGCCACCCCAGGGGCATTAGTGCTGGACCGGCCGGGCTGCTCTTCACTTGCCGTGCCTGGCCGGGTAGGTGTGCTGTGATTGTTTGGCTTCTGCACCTTTTTAAAACCTCTGAAAAGCTGAAAGTTTTAAAGGACTTCTCGTGACTGTTGAATCTTGATTCTCCCCAGGTCCGAAAGCACAGAAGAAATTCAAACGCCTTATGCTTCATCGAATAAAATGGGACGAGCAAACATCGAACACAAAGGGAGAGGGTGAGCCTAAAACCGTGCGGAGGGGGTGGTGTCCAGAGGCCGTTCGCTGCCTTTGGGACTAAAATCAGCTTTGTTGGTGTTTTTTCAGATGAGGATGAGTCTGATGAGGAGTCTGTTAAGAAAACAAACAAATGCTCTCTGGTTTGGGAGGTGAGTCGCTGGTGTAGTTCAATATGGGGTGCAAGGGCTTAGGGGTGGACGTGAGCTCCATCTGACAGCAGCTGAGGCAGAAATGATGTCCTGAGGCTTTGGATCGGATGCAAACCCGCTCCTCTGCCTCTTTCTGTGGTGATTCTTGAGCTGTAGCAGCACTGTGAGATCCTCCCCCACACAGCGCTTCCCCACATCACGCCTCAGCCTGGAAAAACGTTTCTTCCTGAGCCAGGGAGCTGCATTTCCTGTGACTTTGCCCTGGAGGAGGGTTGGAAATCTCCCTTTTCTCCTCCCAGGGCACAGCAAAGGACCGCAGCTTCGGAGAAATGAAATTTAAGCAGTGCCCCACGGAGAACATGGCCCGGGAGCACTTTAAGAAGCACGGCGCGGAGCACTACTGGGACCTGGCCCTGAGCGAGTCCGTGCTGGAGTCCACAGACTGAAGAGAGGGGGCCCCTGCCGTCTCCCCCTCACACCCCACTCCCCCTGCTGGTCCCCCTCCCCTCTTGCTCTCCTCAGCACAGCGATTAAAGACATATTTTTTAAAACAAGTCACTG